CCCATCTTCCTTCCGAGGAGTGGCTGGGGGGTTTGAACCGCCAGCCTTCTGGTTAGCAGTCAAGTGCCTTAGGCACTATGCTACCAGAGCTCCCTCTATTACAACTTAGAAGCTTTAAAGTTCTGTGTTCGCTAATATTTACTGAAGGAAAGATCATTAATAGAAAAAATATAGCATCTAGCTAAATAAGGAAACAAATTGGTAGGGAAAGCCCAAATTTATACCATTTCTTCTGGGTGAAAAGGAATATTTTCTGTGACTTACCTTTCCTTAAACTATAAATTTCTATTATTAGGTTAGATCATTATTTCTTTCATTTTCTTATTTCTCTCCCCAAAAGAACCCCTTTTAGACCTTTGTTCCTAATCACTTCTACTTCTCCCATTTCAAGAAATTTTAGGACCACAGATACATACTGCACAGTGGCTTAGGATCTGTGGTCCTTTGAAGGGAAACACACCATTATAATATTAAAAAATTTGCACTGCCCCCCCCCCACCAAGAACCAATTTTTATCCCCTTTAAGACAATATTTCCCCTATTGAGAATACATACTTTCAAAGAGTTTGATTTTCCTTCCTATTTTTATCAGGGAAGCCCTGGATCAGATGGTCTGCCAGGTCGAGATGGATCTCCTGGTCCCAAGGTATAACAAACTTATGTACAATTGCTGTTGTTGTTGTTGTTATGTGGCATCGAGTCAGACCTGACTCATAACGACTCCTCCTTGGATTTCTGAGGCAGCATCACTACAGAAGTAGATTGCCCAACCTTCCTTCTGAGGAGTGGCTGGGGGGTTTGAACCGCCAGCCTTCTGGTTAGCAGTCAAGTGCCTTAAGCACTACACTACCAGAGCTCCTATATGTACAATGTTGTTGTTGTTGTTGTTATGTGCCATTGAGTCAGACCTGACTCATAGCAACCCCTCCTTGGGTTTCCGAGGCAGTATCACAATGGAAGTAGATTGCCCAACCTTCCTACCAAGGAGTGGGTGGTGGATTTGAACCGCCAGCCTTTGGGTTAGCAGTCAAGTGCCTTAGGCACTATGCTACTAGAGCTCCTACGTTTATGGAATTAAAGCAATAATTTCTCATCAAACTTATTTACATCTGTGAATTTGCCCACAGGGTGATCGTGGTGAAAATGGTTCTCCTGGTGCCCCTGGTGCTCCTGGCCATCCAGGCCCACCTGGTCCTCTTGGTCCAGCTGGAAAGAGTGGTGACAGAGGAGAAAATGTAAGTTCTAACATCATCCCTTGTTACTTGTCTCTTTGCCTCAGTGAAGACGTTGTAGGTAGAAGATAGAATGTCAGATACGCTAACAAAAAGATCTACTACCATTTTTTTTATAGTTTTTGCACTAGTCCTTTCTTAGGCAACTACGTTAACAAAGAATATGTTAGAAGTTTCTGGCAATAGTCAATGAAGAATTAGTTACTAACATCCAAAACAGTATTAGTCAGACCAAGTTTCTATTTACTGGGATTAAATGTAAGCCTGAAGTAACAGGATTTATTCAGTTTATTTGTTTAGACCTCTGAAAAAGAAATTAACAAGAAAAGGACTGTGAAGGATAAAAAGAAATTCTAACTTCCAAAACTAGTATGCGTATTATTTATTATTCCATCACAATGGAATTATTAACTTTAAAAAAAAAATGAATAAATAAGCATGTCTATGTAAGTGTGTCATTTTGTCTATTTGTTGTCATTTTAGGGTCCTGCTGGCCCTGCCGGTGCACCAGGACCTGCTGGTGCTCGAGGCCCTGCTGTGAGTTTTTGGTTTTTAAATTCATCCTAATGTATAGGGAATATTTCTTTTTCTGGCATGCTCAGGAAAAGGGGATGACAAAATAATACATAGCTATAGAACATAATTTAAACTTCCCTTGATGATACAGGAGCTCTGGTGGTGCAGTTTTTAAAGCATTTGGCTGCTAACCAAAAGGTCGGTGGTTCCAACTCACCAGGCGCTCTGCAGGAGAAAGATGAGGCAGTCTGCTTCCGTAAAGATTTACAGCCTTGGGAACACTATGGGCTAGTTCTACTCTGTCCTAAGTGTTGCTATGAATCAGAATCAACTCAGTAGCAGTGAGTCGGTTTGGTTTTGGTTTTGATGATACAGTAAGCAATTCAGGATCTAAAAGTTCCTTTGGGCAAGCACATAAACATTAATTATTGGTGTTTCTTGCAATTATCAGTCAAAATTGAACAACTAAAAAAATAGTATTTATTGTTCCATAGATAAAGTATATATTGATAGGGATTTCTAGCCAATAGAATCAAATTCTATTTGATTCAAAATAAAACAAATTCTATTTTATTTTTTCCAATGTGCATGTATGTGTATGACTTTAATTTAAAATGTATTTGTAAAGGGTCCTCAAGGCCCACGTGGTGATAAAGGTGAAGCAGGTGAACGTGGTTCCACTGGCATCAAAGGCCATCGAGGATTCCCTGGCAGTCCAGGTGCCCCAGGTTCTCCAGTAAGTACATCCATTTTGTCAGGAAATCCCCTACAATGCTTTTTAATGATTGGGTAAGCAGAGCTTGTATTACAGAGATTGTAGAGACAGATGAAACTTTTCTGTTTCCTCTAAACGTATGTGCTAGAAAAGTTAAGTAATAGAGTAGAGGAATTATTTGAAATAATAGTTGGCATGAGACAGTGGGGAGGTAGAATAAGGAGGAAAATATATTTTACCATGATTCCTATTTCTAGATCATACCTTGAATGTATAATTTCCTGAACTTTTTTATAAAGTTTTCACTAATATTCCCCATTCCTTTCCTTCCAGGGCCCTGCTGGTCACCAAGGTGCAATTGGTAGTCCAGGACCTGCAGGCCCCAGAGTAAGTAACACAGAAAGAAACTGGAATGTCCACATTTTAAAATGTTTGCACTCCAGGAAGATATTCTAGGATTTTGATATCATGATAATTTCCTAGGGACCTGTTGGACCCAGTGGAGCCCCTGGCAAAGATGGAACAAGTGGACATCCAGGTCCCATTGGTCCACCAGGACCTCGGGGTAGTAGAGGTGAAAGAGGATCAGAGGTAAGACATCACTTATAAATATATGTATTTAATTTGCTACAATGTTCAGAAACACTGTGCAGTATCTCAGAAAAACTGAGACAGTGGGGAGGTAGAAAAAAGATCGTGAGTTCTGCATAATACAATCACCTGATTTGATGTAGAGAATGATGAATGACCATATGGGACTTTATTGACCACACTGTAATAATAGGCAGAAAAAAATGTTAAGAGTTTTTTAAACTTTATATTAGTTAATACTAACAGTTATATTCCATTAGATCAGAAGAACAACATGTTGTCAGTAAAGCAAATGAACTATACCAACACTGATCTCACAACAGAAGCCATTTAAAGCTTCAGTGACAATCATAATGCCTTGCCTTTATGCAGTATATTCTACCTCCCAAATGCATCCAAAATTCCTATTACGCTATGGATCCTATTATCCCTAATACATTCCTATCCTACTCTATGGGATAAATGGAATAAAAACTATTATCGTGAGTTACACACATGGCAATTGAAGCTCCAATAAGTCAAATGAACTGCTCAAAGATACAAAGCTAGATTCTGGAATCAGAAGCTAGATTTCTTGATGTTATTCTCTGTGTCATGGCAGCATTAGAACCATGCTTCATGAGTTGCTTGTTTCCGTCATTTGTACAAAACGAAAATATGATAGAATAAAATTATAGCCACACATCTCATTATTATATAGTAAAACACTATAAATTTGTGGTAATGAATATTGTTACTATAAATCGATTATCATTTGATTGCATAAAAACCCAAATAAAAGAATTTCACACAACAAAGTTGTTAAGACATTTTTTGGGGCCAACAAGATATTTTTTGGTGGAGACCACACAAGCATACCTCAATGATGCGTGTTCTTACCCTTTCTAGGGTTCCCCAGGCCACCCAGGACAACCAGGCCCTCCTGGACCTCCTGGTGCCCCTGGTCCATGTTGTGGTGCTGGAGTTGCTGCCATCTCTGGTGTTGGGGCTGAAAAGGCTGGTGGTTTTGCCCCATATTATGGAGATGAACCAATGGATTTTAAAATCAACACTGAAGAGATTATGTCTTCACTCAAATCAATTAATGGACAAATAGAAAACCTCATTAGCCCCGATGGTTCTCGTAAAAACCCTGCTCGGAATTGCCGAGACCTGAAATTCTGTCATCCTGAACTCAAAAGTGGTAGGTTGAGGAGTCTTTCACAGTCATGGCAACAGATTCAGAGAGAACTGTAATAATAATGTAATCATTATTACATTGTAATTTAGGAAAGAGAAAACTTTTACTGTGAATGGGAAGTATTTTATAGCAGAAATAATACTTAAAAGATGTTAATTGAATTGACACTGCTCGATATTATAAGAAAAAGTAAACTTTGTGAGTTACTTAAAATGTAACAAAACTAACTGAAAATATTACAAAAATAAGAAAATTTATAGGCAGTTCCATAGTATCATTAATGGAACTCAGAGTTTGGTATGTCTCTGAAGATCATCACAAACTTATGTATCTGATAAAACAATTTATATGATTGATTAAATATATATAATTTGATGCAAACATAATTTGAAATTTAAAATTTGACCTAAAATCTTTTGTTTTGAATTAAAAACTACTTAAGTTTAAAATGCCAGAATATTATATAGGATAATATAGAATAGTGTAATAGTCTAGAGACTTGCTTATATTGGTTTAATTCTATCTGAAAGGCAAAATTATTTTCAAATTTTCAGGTGCCTTCACAGGGAACATTGCCTTTTCTAAGAGTCAAAAAGCTCACTGCCATCAAGTTGATTCTACTCATAATGACTCTTCCTTGAGTTTCCAAGGCAGTATCTCTACAGAAGTAGATTGCCCAATCTTCCTCCTGAGAAGTGGCTGGTGGGTTTGGACTGCCAGCCTTCTGGTTAGCAGTCAAATACCTTAGGCTCTACACCACCAGAGCTAGAAAATAAAATGGAAGATAACCATCAATATAGACAGAAACTTTGTTAGATCTCTTGACATAAATTCCAGATTAGAAAAGTCCCTTTACATCATAAAGAAAAATAGCATTAATAAGTCATCTTAAAAAAATAAAAACAGTAAATTAATAAAATATACCATTCAAAATGTCTTGACTTAATTTATCATTATTGTTCAAAGACAGAATATTATTCTGTGATTTTGTTGCTTTCTAAATATTATAGCTAGTGTTTTTATCCACTAATTTTACCTATAAACATTTCTGTATAATGATATACTATAATGTACAAATATGTAAATTATAAATATATTAGCAGTCAACTGGATGAATGCTTTACCAGGTAAACAAACAAAATCATTCTGATCCAAATTCTATTACTGGTTTTTATAACCAATTCCTTTTTTTGTGACTATTCAGGAGAATATTGGGTTGATCCTAATCAAGGTTGCAAGTTGGATGCTATCAAAGTATTCTGTAATATGGAAACTGGGGAAACATGCATCCATGCCAGTCCTTTGACTATTCCACGTAAGAACTGGTGGACAGATTCTGGTGCTGAGAAGAAACACGTTTGGTTTGGAGAGTCCATGGGTGGTGGTTTTCAGGTTAGAAATAGCATACCATTTTTAACTATATCATCCTGACTTACCTGACTTTCTTTTCTCCTTCTATTTATTCATCAGAAAGCTAAGTTAATTAATTAATACATGAGCCATTAAGATTTGTAGATATTCAGGTGACTATAATATTTTGTCTGTCCAGAGCTAAGCTAGATTGGATTATACTTTGTATCCCAAGAACTTCCTTTCATTTCTTAGTCTTTCTACTCTGATATCATAGGCTATGCATGCAATTAAAATATATCTATATATAAAATATTCATGTATAATGGATTTGAACAGTCTGTGTTACAATGACCATACCAATACCACATGAATCCCCTACACACAGCTGTGACTAAAATGTTTGATCAGTTTTATTTGTTCCCTATCACAGTTTAGCTATGGCAATCCTGAACTTCCTGAAGAAATACTCGATGTCCAGCTTGCATTCCTCCGACTTCTCTCCAGCCGGGCCTCACAGAACATCACATACCACTGCAAGAACAGCATTGCATACATGGATCAGGCCAGCGGAAATGTAAAGAAAGCCCTGAAGCTGATGGGGTCAAATGAAGGCGAATTCAAGGCTGAAGGAAACAGCAAATTTACATACACAGTTCTGGAGGATGGTTGCACTGTAAGTAACATTTTTATAAACAGGCTTCATAATGAGTTCAGCATTTCTAGGTTAATAATGCTAACTATTTTGAAGAGCAGAAATAAAAATGAAAGGATGAACCAAAGGTACCATTTGGTGTGAGCTATACCGAATCCACTGTTTCATTGTTAGGAATGTTAAATATCACAAAAAAGTGAAAAAGGGATCTTATACTTTCATGACTCACAAATGCTTTAAGAATTTGTTGAAAGCTGCATGTGCTGTTTTAAGAGAAAATAAACATACACAATTATAAATACAACTTGCATCCAGTTTTGGAAAGGATAAAAGCTCCCTCCAAACCATCTATGGAGAGCAGATTCATGAATTCTGCTGCTTTCTAAGGATTAAACTTTATTCTATCTTACAAAAAAAATTTGCTCACACACTTGAGAGAACTTGAAAATATAGAAGATATAAGTAATGGTGAATAAGCTATAATGTCTTTTAAGAATAATCCATTTTTTCAACAGAAAAGAATTTCTGCTTTTATGCTTACCTCTTACATTAATAAAAGATGGTGGGCAAAGAGTAGGGGGAGGAAGGAAAAACAAGGGTTCTGTGTCTAATAACAAGATTAAATGGTTAAGAAAGAAAGAAAGAAAACACTCTGAAAGAACATATTTAAACAGTAATTTAAAAAGAGAGAAGAACATGCTTTTGAAAATTTTGTCAAAGAGAGCATTTAAATAACTAATACATTTGATTTGGATGGGGTTTTTAATCTTTGATTTTAATTACTCAGAATAGCCTTCTACTGAAATCATAGTGATGTAGTTTCTGATTCAGTATATATTTCCTTCACCCATCCGAACCTGCTTCCAAATGAAAATCCATAATATAAACTTTACCAAATAATCTGGATGGACCCCATCTAAAATTTCTGCTTTATAATTTAATTAAATCAAAATATTAATTAATTAAAATTAAATTTTAATTTTAATAGATAGTACCATATCTATTCTCTGTTATTTAAAAACAATGGAAAAACTCACTTCTAAATTAGAAAATTCAACTGCGAGTGAATAATCCACTTCTTAGTAAACTGACTGTATACCTGGTAGTAATGACCAAATTCAGGCCTTCCAAAACTAGTCTAGTGAATATCCTTCTGGGTTTCAATATGCCACAATATATTTTAATTAAGAATATGATTTATCATGTTGGAGAATTACAGCTTTGAGTACAGTCCTCACGTGTTTGGAAGGTAAATATGGCAAGCTGGCAACAGACCCTAGCGCAATAATATATATATATTTTTCCTAATGCGATAAGTCAGGGGAACTAAGTAATTTTAATGTGATGATCATTTACTTTTTCTTTTTTTTTTTTTATGCTCTCTTATAGAAACACACTGGGGAATGGGGCAAAACAGTCTTTGAATATCGAACACGCAAGGCTGTGAGACTACCTATTGTAGACATTGCACCCTACGATATTGGTGGTCCTGATCAAGAGTTCGGTGCGGACATTGGCCCTGTTTGCTTTTTATAAACTAAATTCTATCTGAAAACCCAGCAAGAAATTTCACACTCCATATGTGTTCCTCTTGTTCTAATCTTGTCAACCAGTACAAGTAACCAACCAATTTCCAGTTATTTATTTCCAAAATTTTGGGGAAAAGTGTAATTTGAGAAAAAAATTTTTTTTTTTTTTT